CTTGGCGACTGGTGATAGCATACGGTTTGCTCCTTCGCCTATTCATGAAGTAGTTCCTCTAGGTGCAACTCTGTCTGGCGGAGCTACTAAAGAAGATTGGGCTCTATTGCCCCCATTACCATTACCTTGCCTATTCTTAGGGCACTCTCTCATGAAGTGAACTATCTGACCACACTTGAAACAACCAGTGGAGCCATCACAACACGATCCTAGGTTGTTTCTACCACACTTAGCACATGCAGGAGTCTACTTGGCCCCTTGTGCCACACTACCTTGAGACTGAGCAGGTCAAGCTTTAAAATTCTGCGAGTCCTGATTCCTGAACTAACCTCTGTTCTTTGGTGCAGATGCACTAGCAGATGATCAAGCAGGTCCAGTTGGCTTGTTTGAAAGGATGACCATTTCGCATTACTCTTATGCTGCCCAGACTCGTTACCTTTTGTCTTAGCCTTCTTGTTGCAAAACTCTTCCCTATCTCTCAACTTGTCCTCCTCAACCTGCTTCATATGGATCATGAGCCTTTCTATGTCCATGTCTCCTATCAACATAGCTGCCTTGCCCTCCTTAGTTGACAAGCGAGACAACCCAAACACAAATAAGCTCATCCAACTCCTTATATCGGCAACCATCTTCGGAGCATAATCGAATAGCTGAGTGAACTTGCGACTGTACTCATGCACACTCATGGATTCCTGCTTAAGAGTAAGAAATCCTTTTACCTTTGCCTCTCTCAGTTCACGGGAAAACAAACGCCCCATGAAGGCATCTTCAAACACAACCCAACTATCAATTGGTGCCCCTTCATCTCTACTCTTCTTCCATTTGGCATACCAGACTCTAGCAACACCCTTCAGTTGGTATGCAGCTAGCTCCACACGCTCAGCGTCTGCAACATGCATCACCTCAAACACTTTCTGCAACTCTTCCACAAAGTTTTCTGGATCCTCAATGACACTTGAACCGTGAAGCCTGGAGGATTCATCCTCAAGAACTCGCAAATTTTGGATGTATCAACCACATCTTGTCAAACTCCTCTCTGTTGACCCGCTTGGTTAGTCACCACTTGATTCAACATCTGGATAGCATCCCAGAACTCATCATTAGTGACCTCTCCTTGGGGTTGCACTTCTGGTGCATTGGGAATCTCTTGATCCTAGGGATCAACATTCCTCCTAGCAGGATGACCTCGAACAACTCTTCGTGGAGGCATGATTTGAAAGATACGTGCAAGGATTAATTAGAAAGAGACTTTGATAGAGTTGAACTCTATCGCACGAAAAGAGTAAGAAAAAAGTGAGACATTTCCTAAATGCCATAGCCTCCTAATTATATATGTGTTGCGCTTCACACCGATAACTAGGAATCTACAAACACGACTTCATCGACACCCTAGGAATCTTGAACTCTATGTTCTAATACCAAGTATGTTATGCCCCGTGCCTACACCCTGGATGTGGCCAACACTCGAGAACCATTGTTGGTCCCCAAGCGAACCCTTGGTCTGGCTTAATACTCAGCGGAAGACTTAATCAACAATATATAAACTCAAAAGTAAAGGTTACTCAAAAAGTCTCAAATAGATAACTCAGAATATTTAGAAAAACATTCAACTAGCCAAAAGAGGCAACTCAAGTCTTAAATTTTTTTTAAAAAGTTTGTAAAAGACTCCTCAAAATGACTCGAAAGAACTCCTTCGAACTTTACTCTTAACTCTACCTTGAATTTGAAAATGTGAAGTCAAGAATTATGATTAGGATATATAGGATCTCTCAATGATTAATGGATTTTAGATAGTTGACAATAAGAAACAAGCAAAACCCCAAATTAGAGAGCATGGGCGTGACGCGTAGAAAGATTTATTTTATTGGTTGCGAAATAATTTTTGAGACAGAGGACTCCCGGAGAGGGGGTGGAGGGTAATTTTTCTGGGGACTAAATTTTAAAGTGCCTCCTCGATGTGGACCTGGGCGTGTATTTTTGCCTGATCTTTTCTTCCTCTCCCAAACTTGATTCAACTCATACCCACTTCAGTTCTATGGTCTAATTTCACAAAAATTCACAAACCCAAAACTCTTTCAACGAACTCACACAAAAGTCAATCAAGAGACTCAACTATTACGCAAAAACTTCACCCTAAGGACTTCAAAGACCACGATTAACAATTAAACTCAAGAACTTCTCAAGAACTCAATAATCATCTTCATGGGTAAAAATTGTACATGATTGGCGTGAGGGAGAGCAACCCAACACTATGAAAGCTTACATACCTCGAAAGGATTGAATCCTTGGAAAAACTCCTCAACGATCGCAAGAATCTTAAACGAACGCTTGAACTTCTCCTTTTTCTCCTCTTGAACTTTTCTCTAAAATCCTAAGCGTGTTTTGGAATTGTTAAAACTGATCTAAGTCAGTTTAGATCCCTAAAATATACTAAAAATGAGTTAGGCTAGTGGGGTAAGGAAAAGACCAAAATACCCCTCCTTAATTCGGATGTATTTCCTTAACTGGACAGGTTGTACTCAAATGGGCATATCTCCCTCATCCAAACTCATAATTTATCAAACCTGGTGGCGTTGGAAAGAGGACTCATAGATCTTTCATTTGATACCTTATAAGCCACCAAACACATCATGTACTGAAAGTTATGGTCATTTGAAGTTGACCTAAAACTCACAATTGAAGAGTATCTTGCACAAATCTCAAATTGGCTATTTAAAATTTAGTTCTTTCTAAAATTAGACTTTTCCAAGACCGAGGTGTTATAGATACACTCACTTTTGTTCTATCCAAAGCCAAAACTAAAGAAGAAGAGGCAAAAAGTGTGATTCGTCATCAATTTTCAATTGTAGAAGAAGATGCACCAAGTGTGTTTTGTTGCTAAAGCCTCAACTGCAAAAGAAGATACATCAAGTGTGGTTCATCGTCAAAGTAAAAACTACAAAAAATATGTTTCTTGTGTGGTTCATTATTAAAGCCGCAACTCTAAAAGAAGATGCACGACATGTGGTTCCTCATCAATGTCTCAATTATAGAAGAAGCTGTACTAAGTATGGTTCGTCGCTAATTCCACGATTACAAAATAAGATGCACCAAGTGTGGTGCGTCATCGAAGTTGCAACTACGAAAGAAGATGCATCATTTGTGGTTAATCATCAAAGTTGCAACTGCAAAAGTAGATGCACTACATGTGGTTCATTATTGAAGCCACAACTGCAAAACAAGATGCATCATGTGTGATCCGTTATCAAAGCTGCAATTGTAGAATAAGATGCACTATTTGTGGCTCGTTACTAAAGTTGCAACTGCGAAAGAAAATGCACCAAGTGTAGTTCGTCGTCAAAGCCGCAATTACAAAAGAAGATGCACAAAGTGTGGTTCGTCTCCACCAAAGTCACAATCGCTAAAATATTGCACCCAGTATGATTTGTCGTCAAATTCACAACTACAAATGAAGATGCACCAAGTGGTTCCTCATCAATTATGGATTATCCATCTCTTTTTTGGTCTGATATTGAGACTATTTGCGGTCCACCATAAGCCTACGAAAAATAGGACAGTGATGTGTCTCACGGTGCCAATTGCACGAAACTTCAAATCGGTATGGTGAAAATTGTGGCATATGCTCTTGCGCTTGTCATGATGAATATGGTCCTATTGGCTTAAAAGTTTTTTGTTTTCTCTCCATAGAGATGATGACATAATTCTCAATCAATATGAAAATCAACATGCTGCTCTTCAGCGAAGATGCAAAGACATGAACTCATGAATATTGTCTAAAGTCAATTAGATCGCTAACTTTAATAATATCAATTTTGGTGAATCCATAAGAACTTTGGCTTTGATTTTTGGATATGTTGTAGAATTAAGAGTCTATTTTCTATAGAATCAAGTCTCTCACAATTTGAGCTCTCCTATATCAAGATACAAACAGTTTGGTGAGACTCCACAAATCTGCGAAACAATAATGACATAATTGAAGACCAACTTCAAAAATTAATTCTCATCAATACATGAAGAGGTTTACCTTGATTTTTGGATATGATGTAGACTTTGATGTCTAGTTTCTATAGAATCAAGTCGCTTGCCATTCAGAATCTCCTACACAAAGATAGAGACATTTTGGTGAAACTGTATAGAGCTCTAAAAAAAGAAGACAGATTTTATAGCAAAATTCAAAAATTAATTCCCATTTGAATTTATATATGTCGTAGTTCTATGAGTCTAATTTCTAAAAAATCAAATGAATCATGATTTCAATATTTCTACAATAAGTTATGAATTTTCCACCGCAGGTGTGCGGTGCCGAAAAAAGTGACGAAAATTGAGTTTGATATGCCTCAAGTTGACAATTAACCATGTAAGAGAATGTGTAGAAATCAAAAATACATAAAGTGTGTTCCTACAAATTATGGAAAACCATATTTGAAACAAAATTATGATAAATTTTTCTAGGAACCAAATTATGGTAAGTTTCTATAGGAATCAAGTTATGGAAAATTCCATTGGAATCGAGTTATGGAAAATTTCCATTGGAATCAAATACGGAATGCTTTGAAAAACTTCATAAGAAAATATATATATATACTTCACGAATACTTCAAGCCTTATCTTTAAAGGTTTTACAAGTTGAACATCATAACAAGTGTCAAGGCAGGGGGCATTTGTAGATGGTGAAATTTTATTGATAAATCCATATTAAATTTTGGATTAATTCATATTTTCATGATATATTGACCAAGTCAAAGTAATGGTTAATAAAGTCAGATTAATATTTATTGAGACATATCTATTAGTGTCCTACTCTAACAAGAGTTCCACGGACAAAGGCTAGGCACAATAATATTTTTAGTCTCCTTTTACAACTGTATCTCTACATTAGAATATTGTAATTATTTATACATGATTGCAGTGTATTTTATGTTAAGGTGAAAATAATAAAAACAAAGTTGCAATCTGCAGCTTCTCCAGTTTTCGCTCTCTCTCTATTCTCTTGTTCTAACATGGTATCAGAAGCCCTTCCGACCTCCCCTACTTCTTCACAACCTTCGGGTATTCCAGTGTCTTCTTCCTCTTCAGCGCTTAACCATGCTCATCACTTCATATCTATCAAACTATCAGCGACAAATTGCTTATTTTGGCGAACGCAATGGTTGCCTTTATTTCGTGGCCAAAACCTCTATGGTTACATCAAAGGAAGCCACCGTTGCCCTTCTGCCTCAATTTTTATAGACATACAGACACTTCCAATCGAAACCCAGCATATACACAGTGGGTACAATAAAATCAGATCATCTTGAGCCTATTAATTTCAACCCTCTCCGAAGAAACATTGCCACTAGCCATTGGACTGAACACCTCAAAAGCGGTCTGGGATGATCTCGCGGCTTCTTTATCTTCTCCATCCAACACACACATTCTTAACCTTCATATGCAACTACAAAATCTGAAACAAGATGACCTTACTGTCACTCAATATTTACAGAAGGCTAAACTCATCTCTGATGAATTAGTTGCGGCTGGTCGCCCTCTTTCTCTTGTTGATCATAACATCTATATCTTTAAGGGTCTCCACTCTGAATTTAAGGACCTCGTTATTACACTTTCTGCACGACCTGAACCAGTGACTTTTTCCGAGCTCCATAGTCTTCTTTTCAACCATGATTTTATCCATGGTTCATCATTGTCTACACTATCTATTTCATCCACCGGACAACATGATACCTCGAACACACAAGTTTCCTCGGGTAAATTCACTCAACGCAATAATAACTCTGATCGTTCCTTTAATTCTAATCCTAATAGGGGTCATGGCAGATATAACAGAGGACGTGGTGGCAGAGGTGGTCACTCCTACAATTCACGGAATTATCACCTAACAATACACAAACCTGACAGTCTCTAGATCAGCGTCAAAAGTGTCAAATTTGCAATGGCACTAACCATGTAGCTTCAACACGTTTCCAATGTTACATCCCTAATATGAGCCCGACAGCTTACCTATCACACCAAGCTCCTGTATCTGCTACTCCGCAATGGTTCCCTGAAACAGGTGCTACACATCAGATTGCCCCGGATCTCACCAACTTCCATCAAGTTGAAGACTATAAGGGATCAGATCAAGTTCATATCGGCAATGGCCATGGACTTCCCATTCATCATACTGGTAATTCTTCCCTCCTCACTCCTTCACGAGACTTCTCCCTTAAGAATAGTCTTCATGTAGCTTCAATCACTAAACATCTACTCTCTGTTCAACATTTTGCTCGTGATAATGTTGTTTTCTTTGAATTTTACCCTAATTATTTTCTTCTTAAGGATCGGGATACCAAGATACCTCTTCTTTCCGGCCGGAGTAATGACGGTCTATATACACTCCAATCATCCCATCCACAGATTAAATCCAGTCCATCAGCTCTCTACTCAATCATGGCTTCACCCTCATGTTGGCATCTCCATTTTGGCCACCCACATCATAGAGTTCTTCAGCAAATTCTTAAGAAAAATGGATTACCTTGTTCTAGTTCTAGTTCTTCCTTCAATAAAGTTTGTGAAGCTTGTCAGTTAGGAAAATCACGAAAATTGTCTCTCCCTTTAAGCAGTAATAAAAGTTCTTCAATTTTGCAATTATTATATGTTGATATTTGGGGTCATGCACCTCTCCTTTCATCTCAGGGACACATGTACTTTCTTGTTTTTGTCGATGATTTTACTAGTTATAGTTGGGGCTATCCAATTGCGCTTAAATATAATGTTCTAACAGTGTTCCATCAGTTTAAAGTCTTTGTTGAATGCCAATTTAATACAACTATTAAAGCCATTTCATCAGATTGGGGTGGGGAATTTCGTTCAAAGTCTCCGGTTCTCAATAAACTCGGCATCTCTCATCGGGTTTCATATCCCTATACTCATGAACAACAAGGTACAGTTGAAAGAAAACATCGACACGTAGTTGAAATGGGTCTAAGCCTCCTTGCTCATAGCTCAACCCCTGCCCGTTATTGGCACTAAGCCTTTGAATCTGCGGTTTTCCTTATCAATCATCTACTCTCAGTTTCCACACAAAGTCTCTCACCGTATGAACTGGTTCATCGTTCCAAACCCGATTACTCATTTCTCAAAGCATTTGGTTGCTCGTGTTTTCCCTATTTACTTCCTTACAACAAATACAAGTTTGACTTTCGGAGTAAACCATGCATCTTCCTTGGCTACAGTTCTACTCATCTCGGTTATCGTTGTCTTGATCCTTCTTCTGATCGGATTTATACATCCCGACATGTGTACTTTGATGAAAGCAAATTTCCTTTCGTTGAAACCTCCATTCTCGGCCCTCTTCTATTTCAGCCATCCCCTTCTACTCCGTGGGTCTCCTTTCCAGTCATTACTCATTTATCACAAGCTGTCTCACCGAGACCACCTCCATCTCTAATTCCATCTTTGTCCACCTCGATTCCATTACCTTCCAACAACTCTCACTTGAACACTATTTCCAGCCCCACTCTAACACCTAATACTGTTACATCGCCACTAACTCTTCCATCACCTGCCAGTCGTACTACTTCCAAATCCCACCTCAATGTACTCACTCGATGAGGCTTTGACACATGCCACCATCTGCAAATTTAGTCACTGCTACACACCCTTCCATGTCATCTCATTCCATTACTAAGCCCACCTGCTTCATTGAAGCAAACAAATCCATAGAATGGTGCGCGGCTATGGCGTCGGAAATTGATGCATTGCTACGGAGTGATACTTGGTCCTTGGTCCCCTATAGTTCCTCCATGAATGTGTTAGGGTGCAAATGGGTGTTTAGAATCAAGAGAAATTCATCGGGTGCTATCAAGCGCTACAAAGCTCGTCTTGTTGCAAAAGGATTTCACCAACTTGAAGGACATGATTATTATGAAACATTCAGTCCTGTAGTAAAGCCAACAACTATTCGTATTATCATATCTCTTGCAGCAACACACTAATGGTCTCTACGTCAGTTAGATGTTCAAAATGCCTTTCTTCATGGTGAGTTACAAGAATAAGTATTTATGTCTCAACCATTGGGTTTTGTCCATCCTCTCTATCCCAACCACGTGTCTCATCTCAAGAAGTCTTTATATGGGCTCAAACAAGCCCCTCGATCTTGGTACATGAGACTTCTTCGATTTTTGGTTGCTATCGGATTCAATCCCTCTAAGTCCAACATATCACTATTTGTCTATAACAAAATTAATGTCCTTACTTCTATTTTGGTATATGTCGATGATTATCATTATTACAGGCAGTCATTCATCTTTCCTAGAATCGGTCATCTCGCAACTCGGTGCCGAATTCTCCATTCGTGACTTAGGGGCACTAAGCTTCTTTCTTGGTATTCAAGTACTACAGCAATTCGATGGCATCTCATTGTCCCAACATCAATATATTCAAAATCTTCTCACCAAAGCGGGTATGAAAAATTGTAGGCCCAGTCTAACTCCTATGGCGGTCAACTCCAAGCTACATAATGATGAAAGTCCTTTATTTCATGATGCAACTTTGTATCGGCGCATCGTTGGGGCATTGCAATACGTTACTCTTACTCGCCCAGACCTCGCCTTTGTGGTTAATAAAACATGTCAATTTTGCATAATCCCACAGTGAATCAGTGGGCAGCAGTGAAGCGAATCCTTCGTTATTTAAAGCACACTCAGCAACTTCGTTTCCATATTCCCCGCTCCTTCCATTGTTTTCTTCAAGCATTCACCGAGTCTGACTGGGCTGGGTCTGTGGATGATAGAAAATCCACTGGTGGTTATGCCATTTTCATGGGAGTAGCTCTAGTCTCTTGGTCCTCCAAAAAGCAACGAACTGTCGCTAGATCGTCTACTGAATCTGAATATAAGGCTCTCGCTGATGCAACCGCTGAATTGACCTGGAAACAGTCCCTATGGTGTGACAACATTGGAGCTGCTTATCTTTCGATAAGTCTGGTGTTTCATGCACGCACAAAGCATGTTGAGATAGATTTTTATTTTGTGCGTGACAAAGTAGCTCGTAAGGACCTCACAGTTCAGTTCTTATCGTCAAAATTAACTAGTTGATATCCTTACCAAACCTCTGACCTCTTCCAGGTTTGAACTGCTTTGATCCAAGCTGAACGTGTCTTCGCCACCATCAACTTGCACGGGGACTATTGAGACACGTCAATTAGTGTCCAACTCTAACAAGAGTTCCACGGACAAAGGCTAGGCACAAAAATATATTTAGTCTCCTTTTACAACTGTATCTCTACATTAGAATATTGTAATTATAAATACATGATTGTTGTGTGTTGGAATGTATGCGTCCACTTATCAGTCAAGGACCAGGTCCTTTGACTCAGCAAGAACAGTAACTAAAAATATGCGTCCACTTGTTTCGATAGAACCAGGTCCTCAGCACAATTACAATAACAAATAGTAAAATAAGTGTTGAAAGTAAAGATTGAACAAACAACTTTACGTGAAAACCTCCTTGCTCAAGGGAGTAAAATCACAACCTGTCTCAATAGGACTTTTCAAACTGCTTCCACTAATCTTCTCCAAGCAAAAGTAAAAGACAGTTTACAAAATGAGATTAGCCTGCTAATCTCCACAGTAAGCAATATCTCATATCACTTAGCTGAGCCAGAGTAGATACAACACTATCCACTATACTAACGCTCACCGATTAATATAGACTTTGCTAAGCGGATACCACATCGCCCACTAAACCACCTAACTCTATATGATTTAGAATTTGACTAAGTAGATACAACATTGCCCACTAAATCAGTTAACTCTAACCGACTTAGACTTTTTAGAAAACGAAACAAAATATCTGAATCCTTTATAGAATAGGAACAAATTTACAATGTAAACACATAAAACACAAAGCTCTAAATACAACAAGATGCTTTAGCACTCCATCTGGTCCCTTGTTGATATGAGCAGTGTTCTTCTTTTAAGATGACCTTCTCTTTTCAAGCTTGTGAATTTTCAGAGAAAATCCAAGTTTTTATTTACCAAATCTTGAGTTTGTGTATTTTGGAGAGAGAAATAATATAAATCAACACAAACTCGTTGAAACAATCCTATTAGATGAGGCCTATTGTTTATAAAAGTTGTGCACTTACCACATCAGAGGTGGCAGCTTTTTCTGACGGCTGTCTTGTCACCTTTTCATATAGCAATCTTGTAGGGACTAGGTCCCTTGCAAGCGTCTTTGTGGATTCTTGAAAAGGCTTGTTGGTTGACTTCCTTCTTAGGATGAATGAATTTAATATGGTGTTTGTCATGTAGAAAATATCAACCATAAAGAGTTATTACCCGTTGGACAAACACCCTTGTCCATTCTGATTGGTGTAGTACGCTGACGCCTCACGAGAGAACTCTGCCTGGAACCAGGTCCCTGCATTTGTGAGACACTGAAGCATATAATCTCGTCCGCTCTTCCTATTGGTGTAGGACACTGCACTTTTCACCTACCACTTGACATGACAACTTTACAGTTGTACTCCATTTGTATCTGGACTAGAGCACTCTGCCAGGGACTAGGTCCCTGCATTTCTGAGGATCATCAAAACACCTAGAATATAACGCTGTGTATTTTATGTTAAGGTGAAAATAATAAAAACAACGCTCAATCTGAAGCTTCTCTTGTTTTTGCTCTCTTTCTCTCTATTCTCTTGTTCTAATAATATTTAATTCAAAATATATGACTTAAATAAAATCCAAATTACATTTGGGTCAGTCCATTAAGTTGACAAGATCGGCCCAACTCATGCTCCTCAAGCCCAATGTCCTCTAAAATTATTAGAAGACCGAAATACCCCCAAAACCCTAGCTCACAACTATATAAAGGGGTCCTGATAAGACAAAAAAAGAAGAAGAACACACACAGAAATACATA